CGGGCATTTGTTCGCACTTGTGTATGGACAACCGCAAACGGAATGGTGTAACAGTAACCCCCATGCGCAATAACGCGGCGTACTGGGTGAGTTTAGGTTTTATGTTGCAATAATAGCTATAGTACTAGTGTTTGTGAAACTCACACGCAGAACTATAAGCAAACCATACGAGAGTTGGTGTTTGATGAACGTTGGGACGAGAACCTAAATGGCAAATGTGAATAAATTCGGAAGAATTGGGATCCAGGTTAGGTAGGGACAGATAGAGAATAGGGAAGCAAATGATATTAATGCAGTTAGCAGTTAAAAGCATGCGCAAATTATAAGTACCGTAAAACAATGATGCATTATCGTTAGCGTGCATTGTGGATACCGTCTGCCAAATGCGCATTCGCTGGTGGACACTTTGACGTGATCAAAGCAACAACAAACCTAATAAAATCCGATGTACCCTGTTATATATTCGGCTTTCGAAAAATGGTTCAAACACTTACAGAAAACCTAAATAAGTAGATTGCGTAGCGTTCAATTGCTATACCGTGTGCTTATGTGCCCTTATACTGTACCATGGTATAAGCCAAGTATGTAAGCGACAGGTTCGCTTGGGGCTCAAATGAAAAGCAAAAGCTCCCGAAGGTAACCAAAAGAAGCTTCTGAGACGTTAACTACGGTATAAGTAAAAAATTAAAAAGGAAGTGAAATATGCACATACTTCGTCCCCAGAACAACTGGGTCTTTCAAATGCAAAGAAAGAAGGCAAACCACATCAATTGACGCGTTCAAGAACACTTACGCATACACTTGGTTGACGGCATACGTTTCTGAGTTGCCTGTCAAGGTGGCCAGCCACATGACGTCTGCGCCTGCAGAGACCCTGCGGGCTGGCGTTGCACCACCCACAGCTCCAACCACACAACCCACATCCAGTGTTACCCCGAAGTAATAAGACCGGGCGGCATGTGGATAGGATCCAGGTTTCATCGACGGAGCCCGCCCACACTCCTTCACGGGCAAACACAAGCACGCCGTATTTGGGGAATCGATCGCACACAAGGCGGTGGCTGGACCGTTGTCCGCTCCACACTGAGTAAGTGGAACCGCTCTTCGAGCCCAGCACGGCCACAAGGACCGTAAACCCCCTCCACTCCAGCAACGACCTACTCTCTCCTAGAGGCGGTATTGACGATGTAGTGGGTAATAGACAGGTAGGTACCTTGTCAACATGCACATCAACGCAGTCACACCAGGGATGTCAAACAATAGCCAAGCACTTAAAATGACATTAACAACTAAAATATATATGTTAAAGTTTACCGCTATACTAACATAACGCTTAGATAATTTGGCCTATGAAATTGGTTAGTTACCAACGAATCCGCGATAAGTAACCATCGTCCGCAAGTTACCCAAAAATGCTACAGACACTATACAGTTAACGAGGATAAACACAGTTAGCGTGCGCAATGCCGCCAGTTAATAGAGGATTATTTAGGTAGGCGGAAAACAGCAAACAAAGTGGAATGAAATTTTTCCGGCTTAATAAGACCTAGTGTAAGTGCAAATTGGTTTAACCCAACTACGGTGAAGAAGCAACACGAATGCAACATCAGCCTCAGCATAGGGCACGCACATACACGTTTTTCTATTATCATGAGCATATCTTTTCGCAAGTGTACCTCGCATTGCCGAGAATAAAATAGCTATTTATTTATTTAATATTTAATCCAGAGCTGGTTGCTGATATATGTTCCAACTTATTTAAAGTCGCAACATGCGGCTTGCATCGTGGTAGACACAAATAGGGACGACGAGATAACAAGCAACGAACGGCTAAGCACATTTCATCAAACGTTGATGGTTTCCTCTTTGTTGTTAGCCCTGACCAAATTTAATTTATCTGACAGTGCATAAACAGTGAGGCCTAACGGCTATGTGTATGCCCAAAAGGTTGGCAGAAATAGCGCCTACCGGCCGAAGTAATTAAATATTGCCACGAAACCTATTCGTCAGTATGGGCTTACACAAAAGAATTTCGATAGTAAAAGCAAGCCTTTATGCATAATAGCCAAACAAGTTTTGTTTCCGAAACTTTTGCTTCCGTATGCGCTATTGAGACTTGAGTAAGCTCTCCTAAGTGCACCGTATCCGTCATCTGCGGTAAATGCTTATAGCAAGCAAGTATTATGTTAAATGTTCGTTGCTTAGCTCTACCTCTGTGTTTTAAGTTTTAGGTTTTTCATGCTCTTTTATGTCATGAATTCGTACCGTGCTTCACCAGTTAGCAAAACGCCGCGGCAACCTAGTCATACCTTTATGTATTGTCTGCCGATAAAGGGTCTAACGCGCACCTTCAAATGTTCAGTAGATTGAACCAATTCAAACTATCTTTGACACCGCAGGATGTATTAAATGGCATGATTATTTACAATAAGCCATTTCAAGAATCGGGTATGCAATTATTTTTATGATATTTCCTGTTGTGTGAAAGGATAAAGTTTGGGAGCAGAGCATCATGTAGCTTTAACATTTTTCTAGTTATTCTCATACTACATATACACCGTTACCGCAACTTTCAAGCATTTGAACAGGTGGGCAGATCATGACACGCCTGACACAGAAGTACAGTGAAGCAATTGTTGGCTCCAAAATGACACCGTAGGTTAATCAGCTCCTACATGTCAGGTAGTGACAAAAGGCTTAGGACTAGTATGCATCATTTATATGGACTTATGCGTCCGTCCTAGTAACTAGATGCTGAACCTGAAATTCTGCTGTACAATTAGATGGCAACTTAATTGGCTGCCGAATAAATAGTGGACCTGTTAACTCGGTGATCAGCAGAGACTGAAATTAGATTTATTTAGTGGCGTACGCAATAAAGTAGGATATTTAATGTCTCATAATAAAAGAGGCAATAGTGTAAGTTACAAGCAGTGTTAGAAGGAAAGAAACCCAATATTCATGGGGATACCATAAACCTACGGTATTTACTATGCAACAACCTCAAAGCTACATCAAAAACTAAACAAACAAGTACTGCGTGTAGCCTGCTAATATCAACTTATGCGTTGTGTTGTTTCATAAAATATAAAATCTTACGTTGTTAGGTTCACGGTAAACATACAACAGAAATTTTTGCCTATGGCATAAATTGTTGCGCAGCTTTTGTTTTAAGTACAATAATAATATTGTAGTGAAGCCGAAACATGTACTTCCTCAGTACTTTACACTGGATACTCTTTGTGTATGTACATACGGATTTTCTGTTTGTTCCAGCGCTTGCACATCCTTACACTATTTCAACACTGTGCGTGCGAGACAGCTCGTTTCTCGCATTTGCTCCCTTGATCTCCTTTCCATGTAGCTTCCATTTGTCATGCTTTTCTCTGCCGTCCAGGTTTTTGGCGCTTATCTTTTGTGTGACAGCCAAAGATGAGTAACAGAGGCTCACACAAAGGAAATCTTTTTGTTTGAACTTTAACTTATAGGATCGAGCATGCAAGGGCGATGCAGATGTTAAGCGCTTATAAAAAAATGGTTACCTTATAGCTGCAGCAGCTGAATTTATAAATATATAGATAAATGCTTTATTCTCGGCAGCGTGTGACCTGTTTCCGAAGTCTTTTATTCAATTATCATGCCCACCAGATCTATGGCAGCTTCTGGATAGACCTGTATCTGCCAGACAGATCGTGGAATGCGGAACAGCATGGGAGGAGCAAGGGGATGTTCAAAGTGTACGCGCCCAGCAAACCGAATGAGCCCGCGAAACTAATAAGTGTCAACAAGATAACATCTACAGTTAAAATTGTAGCATACATGAACTGGGGCGTGCTCCGAAAATTAGGTAGCTGATGGAGAAATTTGTGCTTAATGCAAAGTAAAGAGTTCCGGTAACGATCCGATTCAGCTTCAGATTCAGATTCAGATGGACTGGAACAATAGGAAAATCCCTTGAGTGTTCCTTCTTGAGCAAATCGTTGAGCCAGGAAATGATAAGGTGTTAGTTCATGACAGATCTAGAACGAAACACCCGAAATACACCCTGCTCAACCAACTACTGCCCACGTTCCCTGCACTAGCAGTCCGCGCTGTGTAGGTTACGTGAAGTAAGAAAGAAGTAGAAAGTAAATGGAAGATAAAGGGGAATGAAAGTCATTAAAATGAAGGATAACACCAAAGAGTGAAGATAATGACAGAATAAGAACTGAAAGTTTGAAGATGGATATGGTCAGGAGAAGGGAAAGGTTTCGTGTTGCCACCCTAAAGCGTCTAACTGACGCTCGAAACCCTTAACCGTAGGTTCACTGACTACATTTTCTGGAAGCGAGTTCCAGAGCTCGATAACTCTACGCGATAACCGAGTTTCCGCCCTGATCCTGTCAGAACGCGGCTTGTGTAGCTTCATGGGATGACCGCGAAGACAAGGCAACCTAGCCGGGCTAAATAGCCAGCGCAAGTCCGGCCCAACCTTCCCTGTTAAAATGCGGTAAGTAAGGATTAGGTCTCCTCGAAGCCGCCGGTAGTGCATTGAATACATACATTGAATACATACTTGCAGGTGAATGCTGCGATGTTTTATGATGATAACTTATACGCACCATTATAATTGTTACTTGGCGATTTTCCACGGGCTGATCTTATATTTCTTAAACGACTTGCTTAATATTTAGAAGTTAGAAATATATGAACAAATAAAAAAATCCGTCTAGAACACAATAACATATGGTGTTAAATGTAGAACTTACAGCAAAAATGATAAAAGCTTGGTGAGGCTTTTGAGCTCTGTTGACCTGTACAAAATCAAAGCTATAAAAGATTGCTTATTGAGTTCATTGAGTTTTAAATCGCAGAAGAGGAAACCTCGTCAGCTCCCTAATTTCCGAAACATATACAAAGCTCAACGGCGTACTACAAGGGAAACAAATTTATAACCATAAATGTACTAAAAGCCGTTCAGCACTCATTTATTTCATTGAGAGGCGCTTGTTTAAACCTTCAAGCGTTAGATGTCAACGAATGGACTTTCGACCGCCTTTTTTGGCTCGATTTGCACGTTTCACTCAAAATCTATTCGTCCCATCATGTCACCGGTCTCGCTGCTAATTTTGTCCCTTCTGGCAGGTAAGAAATATAGCTAAGGTATTAGGTTAACTATGTGTCCTTAAACTTTACCTTTAACCCTTAGTGTTTATACAGTTTTCACCATCTGAACTCGCACTATTTTGCCGTGGCTATATTATCCTCCCATATTATCAGAATTAAGGCAGTCACTAAGGAACATAGTTACCCTTAATAATTGGTGTAATCTCTGCCAAATATAAATATCTAGCTCTGGAAAATGCGTCCATATGTAGTCGAACGTACATGCGCATTTCTATTCACTCGCAGACATTAGAAGAAAAAAATTAACGTAATATGTACAATGATGACAGTATCTGTTGTCGTCAGCACTGCCTGTATTATGACGTGAGTCTGTTCCTTTTAATGAACACATGAATGCGCCCTGTTCACACATATGGACGGCCAGCCGTTTAATTTGCGCATGTTTTTGGTCACTCATAGAGGCAAAAGGTTAATATGTAAATAAATAGCGTGGTCTGTCCAGATGTAACCTTAAATACGGTTGCACATTTTAGCACCTCTTTTATTTGTCAAAAAAGTGTTACTTTTTATGAAAAGCTTACCTTCACTCAGCGCTATTGACCATTGGACCTCACTGAGTGATTAATTTTCGTGCGCATGCATGTCCCAAGTTGAGACTTTTTCATTCAAGGTTTGTCACTTGAAAACATTTTTGGTTTAGCTTACCTGCTATTTTATTATGTGCTTTCAATTTGGAAATCGGTTTCTGCTTAATGTTGACGGTAGTTGCAATCAGAAAAATGCATTTACGGTATATGTTAAGAAGGCATTAAAAAAGATCATGCGTGACCAAACGCCGTCTCAAGTGGGACGAACTTTGGTCACAAAATTTTTTAGGTTCAGCTTAACGGTTATACTATTGTGTAGTTATAATTTCGGAATCGAGTTCGTCTTGGTGTTTATATTTTTCGACTTGAAAAGTTCATTCAAGGCAAATGCTAAGGTTAGTTTGGAAAAGATATTTTGAGTGAGCAATGTTTGTCCGAAAAGGGTCCACTTGTGATGGTCAGGGACACGAAAGCGTTCATTCAGGGACGTCCAAAGTTCACTCCAACGGGCACTTTTTTGTCACTTGTGCGGACGTGGCTGTCACCCTGTCACAATTGTGACGACTTTTGGTCAATTGAGCTGTTTTTCTATGTACCCTTACCATATTCCATAAATAAAATTGTTTAGTTGCAACGACCGTCAACAATAAGCATTAGTCGATTCCCAACTAGTAACGACGTAATACTGTAGCCGTTAAGCTAAACTGATAATGTCCTCGTGTTGACCAAATGTCGTGCGTAAAGTGTCCAATTGGGACAGGCGTGGGCACCAACATTTGTCTCTCAGAGATCTCCAGTGGCCACTCGCGCTAATCGAAGTACGATTCACTTAAAAGGCAATAATTTTTTCAAAGTGCGGTGGTGCTATTACCGTCCAATCTTAGTTAAAGGCAAAGCTGGATAGTTCACGCCATTTGCTTTCAAATTAACCGTTTGCCTCTGCGAATGATTAAAGGCGCGCTAGTGGGACCGCTGGATGTCCATTTGATGGCGTCCATTTCTGTAAAACTAAATCATTGCCACCTCCCCGCTGCCTTGTGGACAAGCTTTTGAGCCAAAGGCTTTGGTTTAGGACCCTAATCGTCCACCTGTCTAGGTCTTGGAGCCCTGGCAGTATCTCAGCCCACATACAACCATGACATTTCCTTCAAACAGAAACTTCATCCTGCATCTGCCGTCGCGCAGATTATCAAGAGTCGCCTTATCTGATGCATACAGCAGAGCGGATAAACGAAAACATGCTACTGCTGACGCCTCCCTTCTTGCTTTTCCACCTTTTTCTCTTCCTCTCATCCCGACCCCAATTACTAACCTTCCTATAATTCCCAGCTTAATTGAAAGCACCCGAAGTGCCACTGGAGTAGAACCATCTGCAGCCACCACCCACCGCACCTATCGGAGGCCTATCGGCAAAAGTCCCTTATAAGGCCACGCTATCCCGTTTCCATGGCGACATTCAACGTTCGCGCTCTAAGATAAGCAGGTCAACACGCTGCACTAGCACGCATCTTGGACACACTGGGTATTGATGTATGTTGTGTGTCCGAAACAAGGATAAATGACCCTAACGGGGTTATTAAAATAAATACACTCGGCTTATCCTCTCGTTATTGGTTGCACTCATCCGGAGACGCCGATGCAGCACTCACCGGTCAAGCTGGTGTAGGTAGCATTCTAAGCTCCAAGGCTGAACCCTCGTTGGTTGCTTGGATTCCGGTGAACAGCCGTTTATGCGCAGCCCGTTTGACGACATCAGACAAGGTGAATTCACTAAGCAATACAAAACGCTGTTTGTTTGTGATTTTCGTTTATGCTCCCACCGACTGGAGTTCTAATGCTGTAAAGAACACATTCTATAACGCCCTGACCTGCTGCTACGCTGTGCTACTAGTTCAGATATTATAGTACTTTCAAGGGATATGACCGCAAAAGTAAGGCCTCTGAGCACTTCAGTAGCTCAACTGGGTGGTAATTCTGGGCTTTACTCCGAACGGACTGACAGCGGTGAGCGTCTGCTGCAGCTGTGTGCAGAGAACCAGTTGTTTCTTAGTGGCACTGCTTGTAAACACAGTAGACGCCGAAGTGCTACTTGGCGTCCCACCTTAGCTGGCCAGGGTTGGACCCAAATTGACCACATAGTCATTAGCTATAGTTGGCGTGGTTCCATCCTGGATTGTCGCTTGTGCTGTAGTACCTGTGTCGACTCTGATCATGTCTTGGTACGCTGTCGTTTCTCCATAAACCTTACCGGGAGGCGCACCAAGCGTTTCCTCCTATTGTCAACTGAGAAATTATCTCAGTCCTCGGTCAGGCAAGCCTATCAAGACGCACTGCGTACCGAACTTTCGCTGTCATATCCTAATGCCACTGACCTTCAGTGGAATTGGATCTCAGCCGCCATGCAAGAGGCAGGTGCATCTGCTTGTGGCACTATTCATCGTCATCCGAAAGGTCTGTGAACCTGTTGGAATCTAGAAGAAACCTCTCGGCTGGCTCTGAACACGATGTGACCAGCTAGGCTTATACGCGTGAACTAAAGCGGAGCCTACGTGCTAACAAGGAAACCTGGTCGACCAGTCGGGTTCGAGAAATGGATGAGGCAGGAGCAAAAAGCAATTACCGCAAGCCCTTCTAGCTAATCCGCACCACTGATCATAAAACCAGGCGTCAGTGAGACAATCAGAGACAGCGCGCGTGCACTGATACACAATAAGTTACGCCATATGGCTCGTTGGGCGGAACACTTTCAACATCGGTTCAGCTGGCCCCCTGCTTCCGGACCTGTTCCTACTCAGGTGATGCAGGACGAGCCATGGACAGTTAATTTAGCGCCACCGTCGGAGGCCGAGGTCCTAAACGCGATCACAACCGTTAATCGTTTTCGTGCCGCTGGCCCGGATTCCCTCCCACCTGCACTATTTAAGGATGGAGGTGAGGTCCTCTGCAATGCACTGGCCTCCTTATTCGAATGTATCTCGAAGGAAGAGTGTCCCGGCTAAATGAAAATGTTTTGGTGTTGCTCATCTTATCACTGGCACCCGGCGACCGCGGTTTCGTCCTGGTTTGGACTCATGAGGTGAAGATAGCCTGAGTTGGGGTGTCCCGGCTAATTGGAGCGAATCGATTATAGTGGCAATATACAAGAATGGCAGTCGCACCGACTGTTCTAACCACAAGGGTATTAGCCTAACGCCAGTTGTGACAAAAGTACTGGCCTCGATTATCCTTCGTCGCCTCCCTGCGGAACGGGAATCTCGGATTAGGGAAGAGCAGGCCGGTTTTCGCCCAGGACGTAGCTGTGGAGACCACATATCCACTTTGCGGCAGGTGCTAGAGCAGCGCCATGCATAACGCAGGTCGACGATAGGTGTTTTCCTCGATTTCAGTAGTGCGTTCGATTCAGTCGATCGACCGATTCTGTTCTAATTACTTGCGCGGAAAGGTGTTCCCACGAAATATGTGAACATCCTTCGTGCTCTATACTCGAACACTACACGCCGCGTCATGGTCTACTTTGTGCCATCGGATAGCTTTCCGACCACAAGTGGCGTTCGTCAGGGTTGTCCGATTTCCCATTTCTGTACAATTTCGTCGTGGATTTTATCATGGAGTGTTCCCTTGCGGTATCACCCGATGTAAGCATTGAAGTGCTGCCTGGTGAAAGATCTTGATTATGCGGACGATATCATTTTGCTTTTCGACAATGTTGGGGCGGCATAATCAACCCTGAATAGCCTGTCTAGAGTAGTCACATCATTTGGTATGCGCTTCGCACCTTCAACGTACAGAGTGTTGCTGCAGGACTACCAGTCACTTTATGACCCCTTGACGCTTGCTACCGAGGAATTCGTGGTGGTTGATCAATTCACGTGGCAGCTGCATCAACAATGATGGGCGCATAGAAACTGACGTCAGCACACGCATTATAAACGCCAGAGCTGCCTTCTTGAACCTGCGGCATCTTTAGCGACATAATGGAATTTCCCTCTGTCTGGAAGGCCTTGTATAGAAGGCCACAGTGAGCGCCGTTCTGCCCTATGGTAGTGAAACTTGGCCCCTTCGGTCTGAACACCTGAGGCGCCTTCAAGTCTTTGATCATCGTTGTCTGCGAAGCATTGCTGGAGTCGGATGGCACCAGCGTGTCCGCATAGATGATGTGCGTAGGTGAATACTAGATAGTGATAACCATGCTAGCTCCCTGGAACAACAGATAGCACTGAATAAGTTGCGTTGACTCGGGCGCGTCCTACGTATGCCTGGTCACCGCCTACCTAGGAGCGCCTTGTTCAGCCTATCAAGTGTGGACAGAAGTTGACTTGGCAGCGGGAAATGAAATCACTGAGGAGCAAGCTGGATGCCTTTTGCCCGTCTCGCCTTTCGGGCTGGATTCCACGTGACGCGCCTTGTGCTAGGCTCGAGACATTACAGGAC